CGCACAGGTTTGAATACTGTTGGATGCGCTACATACTAGCAAGAGTGGCAGATTTTTCGATAGGTCAAAAAGTTTCTTTTCCCAGATTTAATTCGAATCATGAGTTAATGCGGTTTTTGGTATCTGATTTTTTTTGATAAAACATATGTCGAGTTGAATCGAAAATTCAAAACTGACATATACATTTACCTTGAAATACAGTATTTATTTTGAGATTTTTGAATCAATCAGAGCAGCCATGGCCGAGTGGTTAAGGCGTCTGACTGGAAATCATATGTGATCTTGGCTGCGATACGCACTAGCAAGAGGGGGAGTTTTTCAGATGGGTCATTAGATTAAGTTTTTTCTCCGATTTGTTTCGAATATTGAGTTTTTGCGGTTTTTGTTATCTATTTTCTGAAAAAAAGATGTCGAGTTTAATTAATTTTAAAAAAAAACATATGCATTTACCTTGAAATACATTTCCTATTTTGTTGAGATTTTTAATCCTTCGGAGCAGACATGGTCGAGTGGTTAATCAGATGTGATCATCACGTGCGGTTCGAATCCTGCTAGCTGCGATTCGTACTTGCAAAATGGGGAATTTTTTATCAGGGTCAAAAAAGTTTTTTTTTCTAAGATTTGTTTCAAATATTGAGCTATTGCGGTTTTTAGTATCTGCTTTTTGAAAAAAAAAGTGTCGAGTTGAACTAAGTTTTTAAAATTAACATATACATTTACCTTGAAATACAATTCCTATTTTGTTGAGATTCTGATTCAATCTGAGCAGTCATGGCAGAGTGGGTAAGGCGTCTGACTAGACATCACATGTCATCTTCACGCCCAGGTTTGAATACTGTTGGATGCGATACGTACTAGCAAAAGTGGCAGATTTTTCGATGGGTCAAAAAAATATTTTTCCCCCAGATTTGTTTCGAATATTGAGTTAGCGGTTTTTGGTATCTGTTTTTTGAAAAAACATATGTCGAGTTGAATCAAAAATTCAAATTTGACGTATAAACTTACCTTGAAATACAGTAACTATTTTTGAGTTGGTTCAAGCATTCCGAGAAGCCATGGCCGAGTGGTTAAGGCGTCTGACTAGAAATCAGATGCGATCTTCACGCGCAGGTTCGAATCTTGCTGGCTGCGATTCGTACAAGCAAAATGAGGAGTTTTTTTAGATGGTTCAAAAAAGTGTTTCTTTTCTCAGATTGCGGTTTTTGGAATCTGTTTCTTAAAAAAAGACGTTGAATTGAACTAAATACTTAACATTAACATATACATTTACCTTGAAATACAATTCCTATTTTGTTGAGGTTTTGAAGCATTCTGAGCAGCCATGGCCAAGTGGGTAAGGCGTCTGACTAGACATCAGTAGTGATCTCCACGCCCAAGTTTGAGTCCTACTGGCTGGGATGCGCACTAGCAAGATTGGCAGTTTTTTAGATGGGTCAATAGTTTTTTTTTCTCAGATTTGTTTCGAGTTTTGAGTTTTTGCGGTTTTTGGTATCTGTTTTTTGAAGAAAAAAAAAACAGATGTAGAGTTGAATTAATTATTTTGAAAAAAAAACGTATACATTTACCTTGAAATACACTTCCTCTTTTGTTGAGATTTTTAATCCTTCGGAGCAGCCATGGTCGAGTGTTTAAGGCGTCTGACTCGAACTTAGATGTGATCTTCACGCGCAGGTTCGAAGCCTGCTGGCTGCGATTCGTTCTAGCAAATGGGCAGATTTTTAAATGGGTCAAAAAAGTGTTTTTTTTTCTCAGATTTGTTTCGAATTTTGAGTTACTGCGGTTTTTGGTATCTGATTTTTGAAAAAAAGATGTCGTTTTGAACTAATTTTTTAATTTAAGATATACATTCACCTTGAAATAAAATCCCTACTTTGTTGAGATTCTGATTCATTCTGAGCAGCAATGGCCGCGTGGATAACGCGTCTGACTAGACATCACATGTGATCTCACGCCCAGGTTTGAATACTGTTGGATGCGCTACGTACTAGCAAGAGGTCGAGTTTTTCAGATGGGTCAGTAGAGTATGTTTTTTCTCAGATTTGTTTCGAATATTGAGTTTTTGCGGTTTTTGGTTTTGTTTTTCTGAAAAAACTTATGTCGAGCTGAATCAGTTTTAAAACTGACATATACATTTACTTTGAAATACAGTAACTACTTTTTCAGATTTTTGAATCACTCAGAGCAGACATGGCCGAGTGGTTAAGGCTTCTGACTAGAAATCAGATGTAATCTTCACGCGCAGTTTCAAATCCTGCTGGCTGCGATACGCACTAGAAAAAGGGGGAGTTTTTCAGCATGTTTTTTCTCAGATGTGTTTCGAATATTGAGTTTTTGCGGTTTTTGATATCTGTTTTCTGAAAAAACATATGTCGAGTTGAATCAAAGTTTAAAAACTGACATATACACTTACTTTGAAATACAGTACCTACTTTTTGAGATTTTTTTTATCATTCTGAGCAGACATGGCCGAGTGGTTAAGGCGTCTGACTTGAAATCACATGTGATCTTCACGCGCAGGTTCAAATCCTGCTGGCTGCGATACGCACCAGAAAAAGGGGGAGTTTTTCAGGTGGGTCAGTATGTTTTTTCTCAGATTTGTTTCGAATATTGAGTTGTTGCGGTTTTTGATATCTGTTTTCTGAAAAAACATATGTCGAGCTGAATCAAAGTTTTAAAAATGACATATACATTTACTTTGAAATACAGTACCTACTTTTTGAGATTTTTTTTATCAATCAGAGCAGCCATGGTCGAGTGGTTAAGGCGTGTGACTCGAACCTAGATGTGATCTGTACGCGCAGGTTCGAAGCCTGCTGGCTGCAATTCGTTCTAGCTAATGAGCAGATTTTTAAATGGGTCAAAAAAGAGTTTTTTCTCAGATTTGTTTCGAATATTGAGTTTTTGCGGTTTTTGGTTTTGTTTTTCTGAAAAAACTTATTTCGAGTTGAATCAGTTTTAAAACTGACATATACATTTACTTTGAAATACAGTAACTACTTTTTGAGATTTTTTTTATCATTCTGAGCAGACATGGCCGCGTGGTTAAGGCGTCTGACTTGAAATCAGATGTGATCTTCACGCGCAGGTTCAAATCCTGCTGGCTGCGATACGCACCAGAAAAAGGGGGAGTTTTTCAGGTGGGTCAGTATGTTTTTTCTCAGATTTGTTTCGAATATTGAGTTTTTGCGGTTTTTGATATCTGTTTTCTGAAAATACATATGTCGAGCTGAATCAAAGTTTTAAAAATGACATATACATTTACTTTGAAATACAGTAACTACTTTTTGAGATTTTTTTTATCATGCAGAGCAGCCATGGTCGAGTGGTTAAGGCGTGTGACTCGAACGTAGATGTGATCTTTACGCGCAGGTTCGAAGCCAGCTGGCTGCAATTCGTTCTAGCTAATGAGCAGATTTTTAAATGGGTCAAAAAAGAGTTTTTTTTCTCAGATTTTTTTCGAATAATGAGTTATTGCGGTTTTTGGTCTGCTTTTTGAAAAAAAAGATGTCGAGTTGAACTAAATTTTTAAAATTAACGTATGCATTTACCTTGAAATACAATTCCTATTTTGTTGAGACTCTGATTCATTCTGAGCAGCCATGGCAGAGTGGGTAAGGCGTCTGACTAGACATCACATGTAATCTTCACGCCCAGGTTTGAATACTGTTGGATGCGATACTTCTAGCAAAAGTGGCAGATTTTTTGATGGGTCAAAAAGTATTTTTTCCCCAGATTTGCTTCGAATATTGAGTTAATGCAGTTTTTGGTATCTGTTTTTTGAAAAAACATATGTCGAGTTGAATCAAAAATTTAAAATTGACATATAATTTTACCTTGAAATACAGTAACTACTATTTGAGATTTTGCAATCATTCCGAGCAGCCATGGCCGAGTGGTTAAGGCGTCTGACTAGAAATCACATGTGATCTCACGCACAGGTTTGAACACTGTTGGATGTGCTACATACTAGCAAGAGTGGCAGATTTTTCAATAGGTCAAAAAGTTTCTTTTCCCAGATTTAATTCGAATCATGAATCAATGCGGTTTTCGGTATCTGTTTTTTTTTTATAAAACATATGTCGAGTTGAATCAGAAAATTAAAACTGACATATACATTTACCTTGAAATACAGTAGTTATTTTGAGATTTTTGAATCAATCAGAGCAGCCATGGCCGAGTGGTTAAAACGTCTGACTGGAAATCAGATGTGATCTTGGCTGCGATACGCACTAGCAAGAGGGGGCGTTTTTCAGATGGGTCAGTGAAGTAAGTTTTTTTTTCAGATTTGTTTCGAATATTGAGTTTTTGCGGTTTTTGATATCTATTTTCTGAAAAAAAATGTCGAGTTGAATTATTATTTAAAAAAAAAACATATACATTTACCTTGAAAAATAATTCCTATTTCTTTGAGATTTGTAAGCATTCGGAGCAGCTATAGCCGAGTGGTTAAGGCGTCTGACTAGAAATCAGATGTGATCTTCACGCGCAGGTTCGAACCCTGCTGGCTGTGATTCGTACTAGCAAAAAGATGAGATTTTTAGAAGAAAAAAAATATATTTTTTTTTCTCAGATTTGCTTCGAAATTCGAGTAATTGCGGTTTTTGGCATCTGTTTTTTGAAAAAAAAGATGTCGAGTTAAATTATTTTTTCTAAAAAAACATATACATTTACCTTGAAATACAATTCCTATTTTGTTGAGACTTTTATCAATCGAAGCAGCCATGGCTGAGTGGTTAAGGCGTCTGCCTAAAAATCAGAACTGATCTTTACGCGCATGTTCGAATCCTGCTGGTTGCGGCTTTTACAAGAAAAATGAGCAGATTTTTAGATGGGTCAAAAAAGTAGTTTTTTCTCAGATTTGTTTCGAATATTGAGTTATTGCGTTTTTGGTATCTGATTTTTGAAAAAAAAAGATGTCGCGTTAAATCAATTTTTTAAAATTGACATGCATTTTTTTTGAAATACAGTACGTACTTTTTGAAATTTTTCTATCATTCGGAGCAGCCACGGCCGAGTGGTTAAGGCGTCTGACTTGAAATCAGATATGATCTACTCGCGCAGGTTCGAATCCTGCTGGTTGCGATTTGTACTAGAAAAATGGGCAGATTTTAGATGGGTCAAAAAAGTAGTTTTTTCTCAGATTTGTTTCGAGTATTGATTTATTGCGGTTTTTTGCGTCTGTTTTTGAAAAAAAAATATGTCGAGTTGGATTTTTATTTTAAAAAAAAACGTATAAATTTACCTCGAAAAACAATTCCTATTTTGTTGAGATTTTCATTTTTTCGGAGCAGCCATGGCCGAGTGGTTAAGGCGTCTGACTAGAAATCGGATGTGATCTTCACGCGCATGTTCGAATCCTGCTGGTTGCGATTTGTACTTGAAAAATGGGCAGATTTTTAGATGGGCTAAAAAAAAAGTTTTATTTCTCAGATTTGTTTCGATTGTTGAGTTATTGCGGTTTTCGGTATTTGTTTTTTGAAAAAAAGATGTCGAGTTGAATGATTTTTAAAAAAAAAACATATACATTTGCCTTGAAAAAAACAGTACCTACTTTTTGTGATTTTTACATCATTCGGAGCAGCCATGGTCAAGTGGTTAAGGCTTCTGACTCGAACTTAGATGTAATCTTCACGCGCAGGTCCAAATCCTGCTGGCTGCGATTCGTTCTAGCAAATGGGCAGATTTTCAAATGGGTCCAAAAAGTGTTTTTTTTCTCAGATTTGTTTCGATTTTTGAGTTAATGCGGTTTTTGGTATCTGTTTTTTAAAAAAAAGATGTCGAGTTGAATTATTTAAAAAAAACATATACATTTACCTTGAAAAACAGTACCTACTTTTTGAGACTTTTACATCATTCGGAACAGCCATGTCCGAGTGTTTAAGGCTTCTGACTAGAAATCAGATGTGATCTTCACGCTCAGGTTCGAATACTGCTGGTTGCGATTTGTACTAGAAAAATGGGCAGGTTTTTAGATGGTTCAAAAAAGTAGTTTTTCTCTCAGGTTTGTTTCGAATATTGATTTATTGCGATTTTTGGTATCTGTTTTTTGAAAAAAAAGATGTCGAGTTGAATTATTACTTTTTTAAAAAACATAAATTTACCTCGAAATACATTACCTATTTTGTTGATATTTTTAATTATTCTGAGCAGCCATGGCCAAGTGGTTATGGCATCTGACTGTAAATCGGATGTGATCGTCACGCGCATGTTCGAATCTTGCTCGTCGCGAGTTGTACTAGAAAAATAGGCAGATTTTTAGATGGGTCAAAAAATAGCTTTTTCTCAGATTGATTTCGGGTATTGAGTTATTGTGGTTTTTGTTATCTGTTTTTAAGATATCGAGTTTATATACTTTTAAAAACAAAAACATAAACATTTACGTTGAAATACAATCCCTATATTGTTGAGATTTTTAATCATTCGGACCTGCCATGGCCGAGTCGTTAAGGCGTCTGACTAAAAATCAGATGTGGTCTTCACGCGCAGGTTCGAATCCTGCTGGTTGTGATTTCTACTAGAAAAATGGGCAGATTTTTAGATGGGTCAAAAAATTATTTTCGTAACATTCGCTCGGAGGTACATATCGACGGAAAATAAAGCTAAGCTATATCTTTGAAATACAAAAGGTTTTTTCTTGGGATTATCAATTATTGGCAGCACACATGGCCAAGTGGTTGATGCGTCTGTCTCGAAATCAGCTGTGATATTCACGCACAGGTTAAAATCCAGCTGGCTGCAATTGTCGTTGGAGAAAATGGCAGATTTTTAGGGCGAAGTTTTCGTATTCGCGTCAGATTTTTTCTTTTGATTTAGAAAAAATTGCGATTTCTGGAAACTTTTTTTGAAAAAAAAGAACCGCTGTTTTTAATCAAATATAAGATTTAAGATATACACTTCATTTTGAATTACAATAGCTGTTTTCTTGAGATTTTCAATTATTGGCAGCAGCCATGGCCGAGTGGTTAAGACGTCTGTCTCGGAAGCAGCTGTGATATTCAAGCGCAGGTGCGAATCCCGCTTGCTGCGATTGTCCTTGGCTGAAATGGCAGATTTTTTTGGGCGAGCGTTTCGTATTCGCGTCAGATTTGGTTTTGATTTATGAAAAATAGCAACTTTTGAAATCTAATTTCGAAAAAAAATCGCTGTTTTTAATAATTTGTAAGATTTAAGATATACACTTCACATTGAATTACAATAGCGATTTTCTTGAGATTTTCACTTATTGGCAGCAGCCATGGCCGAGTGGTTAAGGGTGTAATTCAAAAGCAGATGTGATCTTGTGGGAGCAGGTTAGAATCCTGACTGCTCCACTTTGTACTTGCAAAAAGAGTAGATTTTTAAGTGTTTGAAAAATGTATATTTGCGTCCCATTTTTTTTTGCTGTTTAAAATTATTTTTCGATGTCTGTTTTTTTCAAAAAAAAAAACAGCTGTTTACAATCAATTTTTAAATTTAAGTAAACCGGTTGAATGGAGATACAATAGCTATTTTGTTCAGATTTTTAATTATTAGCAGCAGCCATGGCCGAGTGGTTAAGACGTCTGTCTCGGAATCAGCTGTGATATTCAAGCGCAGGTGCGAATCCCGCTTGCTGCGATTGTCCTTGGCTGAAATGGCAGATTTTTTTGGGCGAGCGTTTCGTATTCGCGTCAAATTTGGCTTTTGATTTATGAAAAATAGCGATTTTTGGAATCTAATTTCGAAAAAAAATCGCTGTTTTTAATAATTTGTAAGATTTAAGATATACACTTCACATTGAATTACAATAGCGATTTTCTTGATATTTTCACTTATTGGCAGCAGCCATGGCCGAGTGGTTAAGGCGAATGTCTTGAAGTCAGTTGTGATAATCACGCGCAGGTCTGAATCATGCTGGCTGCGGTTATCCTTGGCTAAAATGGCAGAATTTCTTTTTTCTTTTGCAAATTATGATGCCTTTTTTGAAAAGGAAGAACAGCTGTTTTTAATCAGTTTTTAGGTTCAAGATATGCACCCACACTAAAATACAATAGCGATTTTGTTGAGATTTTAACTTTCTCGAAGCTGACATGTCCGAGTGGTTAAGGCGTCTGTTTCGAAATCAGCTGTGATGTTCACGAGCGGGTTCGAATCCTGCTGACTGCGATTTTCCTCGGCTCAAATGGCAGATTTTTAGGGGGAAAGTTTCGTATTCGCGTCAGATTTTTTCTTTTGATTTGTTAAATTTTGCGATTTTTGGAATCTAATTTTTAAAAAAAGAACCGCTGTTTTTATTCAATTTAAGTTATACACTTCACATTGAAATACAATAGTAATTTTCTTCAGATTTTCAATTTTTGCAGCACCCATGGCCGAGTGGCTAAGGCATCTGCCTCGGAATCAGATGTGATCTTCACGCGCAGGTTCGAATCCTGCTGGTTGTGATTTCTACTAGAAAAATGGGCAGATTTTTAGATGGGTCAAAAAATTATTTTCGTAACATTCGCTCGGAGGTACATATCGACGGAAAATAAAGCTAAGCTATATCTTTGAAATACAAAAGGTTTTTTCTTGGGATTATCAATTATTGGCAGCACACATGGCCAAGTGGTTGAAGCGTCTGTCTCGAAATCAGCTGTGATATTCACGCACAGGTTAAAATCCAGCTGGCTGCAATTGTCATTGGAGAAAATGGCAGATTTTTAGGGCGAAGTTTTCGTATTCGCGTCAGATTTTTTCTTTTGATTTAGAAAAAATTGCGATTTCTGGAAACTTTTTTTGAAAAAAAAAAGGAACCGCTGTTTTTAATCAAATATAAGATTTAAGATATACACTTCATTTTGAATTACAATAGCTGTTTTCTTGAGATTTTCAATTATTGGCAGCAGCCATGGCCGAGTGGTTAAGACGTCTGTCTCGGAAGCAGCTGTGATATTCAAGCGCAGGTGCGAATCCCGCTTGCTGCGATTGTCCTTGGCTGAAATGGCAGATTTTTTTGGGCGAGCGTTTCGTATTCGCGTCAGATTTGGTTTTGATTTATGAAAAATAGCAACTTTTGAAATCTAATTTCGAAAAAAAATCACTGTTTTTAATAATTTGTAAGATTTAAGATATACACTTCACATTGAATTACAATAGCGATTTTCTTGAGATTTTCACTTATTGGCAGCAGCCATGGCCGAGTGGTTAAGGGTGTAATTCAAAAGCAGATGTGATCTTGTGGGAGCAGGTTAGAATCCTGACTGCTCCACTTTGTACTTGCAAAAAGAGTAGATTTTTAAGTGTTTGAAAAATGTATATTTGCGTCCCATTTTTTTTTGCTGTTTAAAATTATTTTTCGATGTCTGTTTTTTTCAAAAAAAAAACAGCTGTTTACAATCAATTTTTAAATTTAAGTAAGCCGGTTGAATGGAGATACAATAGCTATTTTGTTCAGATTTTTAATTATTAGCAGCAGCCATGGCCGAGTGGTTAAGACGTCTGTCTCGGAATCAGCTGTGATATTCAAGCGCAGGTGCGAATCCCGCTTGCTGCGATTGTCCTTGGCTGAAATGGCAGATTTTTTTGGGCGAGCGTTTCGTATTCGCGTCAAATTTGGCTTTTGATTTATGAAAAATAGCGATTTTTGGAATCTAATTTCGAAAAAAAATCGCTGTTTTTAATAATTTGTAAGATTTAAGATATACACTTCACATTGAATTACAATAGCGATTTTCTTGATATTTTCACTTATTGGCAGCAGCCATGGCCGAGTGGTTAAGGCGAATGTCTTGAAGTCAGTTGTGATAATCACGCGCAGGTCTGAATCATGCTGGCTGCGGTTATCCTTGGCTAAAATGGCAGAATTTCTTTTTTCTTTTGCAAATTATGATGCCTTTTTTGAAAAGGAAGAACAGCTGTTTTTAATCAGTTTTTAGGTTCAAGATATGCACCCACACTAAAATACAATAGCGATTTTGTTGAGATTTTAACTTTCTCGAAGCTGACATGTCCGAGTGGTTAAGGCGTCTGTTTCGAAATCAGCTGTGATGTTCACGAGCGGGTTCGAATCCTGCTGACTGCGATTTTCCTCGGCTCAAATGGCAGATTTTTAGGGGGAAAGTTTCGTATTCGCGTCAGATTTTTTCTTTTGATTTGTTAAATTTTGCGATTTTTGGAATCTAATTTTTAAAAAAAGAACCGCTGTTTTTATTCAATTTAAGTTATACACTTCACATTGAAATACAATAGTAATTTTCTTCAGATTTTCAATTTTTGCAGCACCCATGGCCGAGTGGCTAAGGCATCTGCCTCGGAATCAGATGGGTTCTTCATGCGCAGGTTTTAATCCTGCTGGCTGCGATTGTCACCGGCTCAAATGGTAGATTTTTAGTTTGATTAAAGATTCGTATTCGCGTCAGATGTTTTCTATTGTTTTATAGATTTTTGCGATTTTTCGAATCTGTTTTTTGAAAAAAATAGGACAGCTGTTTTTAATCAGTTTGTCAAATTAAAGATATACAGTCCACACTGAGTTACAATCTCTATTCTGGGTTATTGCGGTTTTTGGTATGTATTCTTCAAAAAAATATATCAAGTGGAACCCAATTTTTAAAGTTTTCATATTCTTTTTTCCCTGAATTTCGATGCGATTTTGTTGAGTTTTTCAATCTTTCGCAGCAGTCATGGCCGAATAGTTAAGGCGTCTGACTCGAAGTTAGCTGTGATATTCACGCGCAGGTTCGAATTCTGCTGGCTGCGAATTTGTAGAATTTTAGGTTGATGAAAGATTCGTTTTCGCGTCAGATGTTTTCTATTGTATTATTGATTTTTGTGGTTTTTTGCATCTGTTTTTTAAAAAAAACAGGACAGCTGTTTTTAATCCGTTTTTCGAACTAAAGATATACAGTCCACACTGAGTTACAATCTCGATTCTCGGTTATTGCGGTTTTTGGTATCCGTTTTTTGAAAAGAAATGTCAAGTGGAACCCAATATTTTAAAATTTACTTACTCTTTTTTCCCTGAATGATAATCGGATTTTGTTGAGTTTTTCAACCTTTCGCAGCAGTCTTGGCCGAATAGTTAGGGCGTCTGACTGTAAATCAGATGTGGTCTTTGCTTGCAGGTCCGAATCCTTCTGTTTGCTATCTGTACTGGCAAAAAAGCAGATCTTTAGATTGCTGAAACTGCATATTTGGGTCAGATTTTTTGCTTTTCCAAATATTGCACTTTATATGTTTTTTTGAAGAAAAAAGAACAGATGTTCTTTATCAATTTTTGAAATTAAGATATACACTTTACACAGAAACACAAATAAGATTTTTGTTGACACTATCAATCGTTGTTACCAGGCATGCCTGAGTGGTTAAGGCGTCTGACTTAAAAACAAATGTGATCTTCACGCACATGTTCAAATCTTGCTGGATGCGATTGTCACTGGCTGAATTGGCAGATTTTTAGGATGGTGAAAAGTTCATTTTCGCGTCAGTTTTTTTTTGCTTTGTGAAAGTTCGCGAATTTTGGTACCTATTTTTTTTCGAAAAGGAGAACACCTGTTTTAAATCAGTTTT